ATACTTAAAAGATTATTTCTATATAACATATTGAAGGGTTTACATTAATATACACAAGGTTCGCTGCCGATGCTAAGTTGAATTGATTCAATGTTTACAGATTGTCCAGCAAGTGAGAGGATTTTAAGCTAGCTAGCTAGCACTGTTACTGTAAGCTAAAATTCTTTAATAATTTGTAAATCAGTTTTACAGTATTATTAATTTAATCAATATATATATATTTATTATCATTTGATTAAGTGTTTCATGTATGTGATCTTTTTGTGTGTGCAGTGCTGTATGGATCAATACCATGCCACCTTGACATGCACACTTTAAAACCTCTTGAGCCCGATTGCCCCTGGTACCGGGGGCAGACGCAGCATCTTGTAAGAAACACCATCCCAGGGCTTGTTCATATTTAACAACCTATTAATGTGGCATACCCACTTAACGGGACGGAACTCAGCTAACAGAGGATAATAACCATTTTACCTAATGGAAAACAATTCCAACACCAAGCGTCCAAATCAGCATGCTACATTAGCGTTACATTAGCATCTGGCGTATCAACACCTTTGGGCATAGTCACTACCTACCACTTATTCAACCAGACACGTAGTAAATCACTCATTATGATGAACAACAGATTGGGGCTTGGGATCAGTTATGAACGTATGCAGCGTCAGCTAACAGCACACAGTTAGAAGGTCATGCAGCAGGTTGAACCTGATGGTGTTTACATCCCAGAGACCATGATGAAAAACACAGAGATCCCCCATGTGTTTGCCATGGACAATCTGGACTGGAAGAAGAAGACACTGGAGGGTGGGAGTTTTAATGCCACCACTACAATCATAATTGAAAACCAAACGATTGTGCGGGTCCAGGAGGGTGCCAGACTCCCCACTTCTACCTCGGACAGAAAGAAGACTCTCTCAGATGTTACTGACCTACCTGCTCCCATGTGTCACGTCTCAGCTAAAGACAGGCAGAGGTCCAGGTTACTTGAGCATATTGAGAAGCTAGAGAGTCTGGATACTTCCTCAGATGGCACAGCTGAAGACCTGTTACTTATGTGGCATCTAGCAAGAATGGTTACAACTTCAGAATTGCTGGATGCTCCTCCAGATGCAGAAGCAGGACTGCCTGGCTTTTCTGCCTTCTGTGCAGACCTCCACCCACACAGACCGGCCAGTATCATTGGCTATCTTCCTCTCATCCAAGCATCTCTAACTGATCCTGCTGTCCTGAAAGAAGAAATGAAACGGCTGATCAAGACATCGCATGCACTGGGAGACAAGTATACCATTATCATTGGAGATCAGGCTACATATGAACTCGCAGTTGCCATCAGAGATAAGCACAGAGATGAGTTCTGCAATGTAGTCCTGCTGCTGGGGGGATTTCACCAAGCTCATAACTACATGAAGGCTGTTTGCAAGATCATCAGGGATGCAGGTGCAGAGGATATTCTTGTTGCAGCTGGTCTGCTTCAGGAAGGGACTGCCAAGAAGATGTTTGGTGAGAAGGCTGACTACTACCAAACCATGCAAGCTCTCAGGATCCTCAGTGAGGCCATGTGGCGCTTGTACTGGCAAGCATTTGATGGATGTGCAGCAGACAGAGAAACACAACACTGGCAGTCACAAGTAGAACATGTTGTGAAGATGTTGTTTGAGAAAGACACCACTGCTACTGAGAAGTTGGTGATCATCCAGAAGTCACGTCCACAGATATCAATCCTACAAGAACAGATGTTACTTTTCCAGGAATCTCTGCAGTTTTCTGGTTAATCTTTCTGGAGATGTCAGACATTCTCCAGGTGCATCTACTACCAGCAGGAAGGGTACTGAGCAGGAGATCTCTGTGAATCAGCACAGATGCTACCTTACCTCACTGCAGCAGGACACTACAAATATGGGCAGCAGTCCTTGCGTCTGTATTTGTCTGAGATGAAGAAACTGCCAGAGACAGCCCCTGAGGCACATGAAGCACTGATGGCAGGTGCATTTGTTGGAAGGAGAGCAGATGGCAACCACAATGGTGTCTCTCCTGACTTGCTTCTGGAGCAGACATATAATGCAGATGCCAAGGAGGCAAGTGGTCTGGATGGCATTACACTCAGTCGTGCTGCCAGGATGAAGTGGGTCTACACAAAACCACTCACTGCAGCTATCTCTGCAGAGCTCAAGTCTACGCTGCACCTCCATTCCTCCAGCCCCCACCATGAATCTGGTTGGAGTCGTGTCCACAGGGATGCAGAGATGGTAGTCAAGGTCATGGCAGCAGTAGAGACCAACCCATTCACAACAGCCACACCATCCCTGATCAATATATCTACTGGTGAGTGTGCCGATCCCACAGTCAAGGACAACCTGAGTGTGAAAGCAGTTGGTTTGAAGGCATTGTCAGAGTCACTGTCCAGTGACCAGAAGAAGACAAGTGTTGTAAAGCTAAACACCTTCCACACACAAAACAGGAGAACTCAGCATTGTTGACTTCCCCCATCCCTCTTCCAGGAAGATGGCAGAATGAGAACAGGGACCAAGGCGAGCCTTGTGAAGATCTTGAAAGAGAAGACCAAAGTAAGCAGCATCCCTGATCTGCCCAAAGACTGCCTCTAGACAGCAGTAGTGGTAGATGCCATGTCCGCCACACGACACTGGTCTTTTCACAGAGGAGAAGGATTTGGAGTGATCGCTGAGCGATACAGGCACCTGCTGCTGATTGATGTGCCTCCTGGCACTGACATCATACACTTCTGTTGTGACAGATACGGTGCAACCAGCCTCAAGTCAGCTGAGCAGGAACAGAGATATGCCAGATCCAAACCAAGTGTATGAAGTCAGTGAGCAGTACACAGCTCTGGATCCTAATAAGTTTGTTGCTGTGTCTGCTAACAAAGCAAACCTGCTGAGCTTCCTTTGTGAGAAGTGGTGTGCAGATGAACAACTGGAACCTGGTCTTGGCCCAACTCATCTCTACCTGGGTGGTGGATTCAAAGAAGAGACGAAGAGTGTGGTGCTCACAGCATGGTCTGTTATGGATGTTCCTGCTCTTGAATCAACACAGCAGGAGGCTGACACTAGGATCTTCCTCCACATTCTCTACAGTGTCCAGAATGAGGGAGTTGACAGAGTTGTCGTATGCCAATGACACCGACATCATTACCACATGCCTGTACTGTAGAACGCACCTCAGTGATCTAACAGGGCTGTGGGTGAGAACAGGCCAGAATGCATATACCTGCCTATACATGAAATGGTTGTGGCACTGGGACCTTCACAGTGTTGTGCCAAGCCCTTCATCCACAGTCTGAGTGGTAGAGATACCACTAGTTATCCATATTCCACTGGCAAGAGGGCATGGTTCAAGAGCAGCATGAGTCTGGACATACCTGCACTTGAAGAGTTTGGTGAGAACCCCGCCGATGCCATAACAGATGACCTCCTCAATCAGACAGGAGACCTCACCATAACTGTACATCCAAAGCTGATCACTTTGAGGGTTCTGATCTGGGAAAACTGAGAGCATACAAGTTCCTGAACAACAAATTGGCGCTCCTAAAGCTACTACCCCCAACAGAGAATGCATTTTTGCTGCACCTGAAAAGAACGCACACTAGGGCTGTGCGATTATGGCAAAATCATAATCACGATTATTTGGGTCAATAATTGATATCACGATTATTTTGACGATTATTCATTGACCATTTATTGAACTTTAAAACAAATAATATTTTACCAATAAACAAGATCAACAAATATGTTGGAGCGCACTTCCAAAACCATACTAAACATATATTATTAATATGATAAATACAAATAAATTAGACCAAAATAAATGAAATCAAATATGATGCAGTGCACTGTCACAACCTGCTGAAAACTCCTTAACATATAGCCAACATTTTGGTTCAACATATTCAACATATTCCACTCAGTTAAACGTTGAAGGCTGGCCCACCGTCATGGTCCAGAAGTAACAGGAAATAAATGTTGAACTACAATTTAAGACTAAATAAAAATGTCTAGGCCACCATGGCAAATGCTGGTAGGGCTGCTCATGAAACACCAGCCTGTTGACATGGTCTGGTTTCAGAGAAGAGCGCAGGCAGGTGACGATATTGCCACCTGTACTGAAGACCCTCAGCCACGCCCCGACACATGGGGTGACGCCGGCCAATCACAAAGCTTTGATGCGTTCAAGTGCATTATTCTGGCACAGGAAGATTATGTTACAGGACATTAACGATAAAACAGAATATTGTTGTTCTATTTTTAGACACATCTCGCGATCGACTGGTTGGGCACCCCTGGGCTAGACCATAGGTCTGTTGTGGTAGCAAAGTAGTCAGCTGAAGCCACATCTCTCTCAACTTCCCCACGGCATTTGTCATATAGTGCAGGCAGCGCAGACCTGCTGAAATAATACTGAGACGGCATCGCGTAACGCTTGTCCAACGTGTTGACAAGTTGCTTAAAGCCCTGGTTGCTAACAGTGCTAACTGGGCACATATCTTTAGCGATCTGAAATGTAAATGGCAAAGTACTTGCAAATAGTGGAAATAGTTTTACCCTTCTTTTTAACGAGTTGCTGCTCTTGTTCTGACATCTTCGCTCGCGCTGAACACTCACAACACATGTCACTCCCACGTGGCCGAGTGGGCTTTTAGGGAGGGGCGAAAGCGCACCCAGCAGAATAATCGTATTTTGTCAATGATGCTGTTTTCATAATCGTCGCAAGCCATAATCGTAATCGCGATTAAAATACGATTAATTGCACAGCCCTAACGCACACATCGCCATAAATCCCCCCGTGCACAGAATTTGGATGGTCTCTGGACAATGGATAGTTCCGGTACCATCTACAAAGCCAGCTTGGCCTGTGTCGATGAACAAGACAATCTCATGTGGCTGTCATAAGGCAGTTCCATGCTACATAGGGTGCTGTTGCCAAGGACAGGCAACCAAATACAGAAGGATACACACTGCCACACGTGAGAGCAGTGACAGCAGCTGTGACTCAGAAAATGAATAGAAAGCAAAAAGCTTTCTGGGACACTACCATGAATACCACCATGTGTACATTGAAAACATTTGTACTGTATATTCAGTGTAGGTTACTTTTCTCCCTTTTCTTCTTAAATAATTCACATGTTTCTAGTTCTGGGCCATGTGAATGATTGTTTTGTGTTCAACTTCTGATCATATCTGTTGATTTTTAGTTAATAACTAAGAAGAGAGTATGTGAAATAAATGTTTTGCCACCAGGAATTTTGTTTATTTCATGATCAAAATAGGATGTTTTTCACAAAAACAAAGACATTGATTTGAACAAATAATTAAAGGGTATTGATTTGACATTAAGTTGAACTTAATGTCAACTTCCAGATAAGTTTAACTCAGTTTTCCCTGTCCTACAGAAAACCTTCAATTAAAGGGTTTTACAAAGAAAGTGGCGGCCATTTTGAATTTCGCTGCCTTTAGCTTTCCAGCCCGAAATATCTGTAAACATTGAATCAATTCAACTTAGCATCGGCAGCGAACCTTGTGTATATTAATGTAAACCCTTCAATATGTTATATAGAAATAATCTTTTAAGTATATTTACCCATTTTGAACACAGCAAACAATCCAGAGGACCACAAGTGCATTGCTTGAAATGGATTTCGCTTTGGAGACAAAAAAGCCACAGCGCCATCTAGTGGCCTTATTGAGAACAGGCTTAACCAAGGCATCACCTGAAAGCTTATGTTCTGCTCTTTCAATAGGTTGGCTCAGTTTGTCTTTACCATGAACTGTCACAGAGATATTCAATCAGAAAGAGAATGATGGCATCTGATCCAGACAGAATCTTTGACTTTTGTTCATATAGGGGTTGCATTGTTTGGATCCTCACTAGCTTTCCAGTAGCTAGTTGACCGGGTCATCCACCCAGGTTGTGATCCTTGAAGGTCCTAGATATCATTTCTGGTCGACAACCTTTTACAACATTCCATGTCTTTAAAATGACTTTGCCCCCTGGGTAACAGTGAAAGTAGTCGTTGTGCAGATTGGTCCAATTCAGAATAATATATATGATATGTTTTATAATGATTGATCATGAAAGTGTTCTCAAAGCTGGTGAAGGTGCAGCTAGTCTGAATGACTTTGTATACTGCAGGGTAGCTGGTGGATTTACTCCAGGTGGAACTAAAGTCTGATTCAACACTTGGTTATATTTCACATCATTCATCCACATCTGTGAAGAAACTGAAGGTATTAAATACATGTAGAGGAGTACAAGTACACCATGTACCTCTGAACTGCAGTGGGGTAGAAGCACAAAGTAGCATAACATGGAAATACTCTAGTAAAGTACAAGTATCTGAACATTATACTTAAGTACTTGAGTAAATGTACTTAGTTACTTTAGACATCTGAGTACTCAGTGTACCTTCAGTAAACAGCGTGCAGTACAAAGTCCTGCAGACACACACACACACAACCCTCATATGCAACTTTGTCAACAATCTGCACACACACTTCCGCATCTGAGCGAGAATAAACCCCGCTATAAAACTGTGCGTGCCTGCCAACACGCACGCGCTATCACACGCGCGCAGCGTCGCGTTCAGGTGAGAAATAACCAGGAGGTTTACCTGCTGAGTGCTGAAGTCAAAACCCAGAAACAGAGAGGAGTCCTGAGCAGCCGCCATGATGCTTCACACACACACACACACACACACGCACACACACGAACACACACACACACACACACACACACACACACACGAACACGCACGCACACACACAAGCACGCACACACAGATGGGCGGCGGACCACCGGTTCATTATTTAAAGAGACAGTAACACAGTCTCTCGTTGATGTAATAATAAGTTAATCATTTGAAAAATTGAACGTTTACTTTAAAAACTGGAGGAATATTTGGAAAAAGTACAAATAATAATACAAAAAAATAATAAATAAAATGTAAGTGTAAAATATTCCACACTGTGATTGTTAAATTATTTAAATAATATAACAATTATTTTAACTATATTAACCCTTAAAATAAATAAATTAGGAGTACTTTATAAATAAAATAAATAAAATAAATAAATAAATAAAATAAATAAAATAAATAAATAATAAATAAATAAATAAATAAAATAAATATAATAAAAATAAATAAAATAAATAAATAAAATATGATGCCATGATGGGAAGGGGTATGCAATAGAGATAAGCCCAAAGTGACACCTTTTTAATGTTTGTTGAGTCAAAATCTCATCATTATTAGACACTACAGGACTACAGAGAGAACACAATGACCCCAAAGAGACACAAAGAGACCCACACTGATACACAGGTGTGTACAGGTGTGTACAGGTGTGTACAGGTGTGTACAGGTGTGTTGAGGTGTTTAATATCACATTTCTCTGATAATAGTGGACGTTGTTTTTGTTCCTGAGATTGAGTGTGAAAGGAACAGTCAACAACACAACGTCCTTCACTGTTTAAACACCAGTCAAAGTCACAGCACAGTGTGTGTGTGTGTGTGTGTGTGTGTGTGTGTGTGTTCATCAGTCCAGCTTCCTGCCTCACAGGTAACGCAGTAGAAACATGTCTGCTCCTGATTTCTCCTTCATTTCTTCACGGTGTCTCCTCCTCCTCTTCTCTCCTCAGGTGTCTCCTCACCTGGATGAAGGTTCTGTGTTATCCCAGCTTCCATAGGGGCTTTGAACGCGCCACGAGTCTCCATGCTGCAGGTGGCTGGTTCTACTGACAGAGAATAAAACTCCAGCAGCAGCAGCAGGTGTGTGTGTGTGTGTGTGTGTGTGTGTGTGTGTGTGTGTGTGTGTGTGTGTGTGTGTGTGTGTGTGTGTGTGTGTGTGTGTGTGTGCCAACAGGATGTCCTGCTCCTGCTTTTGCTGTTTGACGCCCAGAGGGGAGCTGCTGCACGGTAATGACACACACATTAAATACACACTATAAGACACACACACACACACACACACACACATGGATATAGAATAACGTATATAATTAACATTTAGTGTGCACAATAGATCGTAATTACGGGATGGCGGTTTCTTGCAGAGATTGTATTTGTTGTGCTTTATTCTGAAAATAATTGCAATTTTATTCTGAAAATATTTTGAATTAAATAAAAAAATATTTTTTAGTTTTTTTGTTAAACTTTTTCTTTAAAATATTTTTTTATACTGAAAAATATG